GTCAAGGGTCAAACTCCATGTTTGTGTTGCCAGCCAAACACAAGGCACATATGACAACTGAAGTTTTCATTTAACATAATAAGCATGTTTTTTTTTTTTTTTTTGGAATGGGGGAGAATACCCAGTGAAAGAAGTTTGGCGCATGAAAACTCCACGCTGGAGGGCCCCGGGCTGGATCCAAATCCCAAACCTCAGAACTGTGAGGCAAAACCACTAGGCGCATTAGCAATTCATCATTTCTTCTTTCCTGAAGGGATGACACTTCAGGAGACTGGCTCAACTGACTGACCAACATCTGTCACTTCCTGTTCACTTTGGATTTCACCAGCGGCCAGTTTACACAGCTAATTGGTAAAACAGATGAGCCTGAATTAATTGTACCCTCTGCCGGTTCCACAAAGCCTACTGTATATTTCTTCCTGACAGAGAGACGACATAACATGACCTTGTCGATAACAACATCTGCCGGATAAACTTCCACATGAGTGAAGAAAAATGTTCTTTGAAAAAAATAAAATTAAAAAAATCAATTTATGGATTTCCCATGTACTTCCCAAAATGCATAGTAGGTTTTCTACTCAGCCATATGCCTGTCCTTGAAAAACATCGTTGATACAATCAATTTGTTTTTAGTTCAAATAAAACCAAGCACTATAATCTTTCTAAAGTTATAATTGTGACTACAGCCCCATACATTTGCATCTATTACAATGAACGTTTGAACGTGACATCATAAAACAGCAGGTATGGAACTTGTCGTACCTCTTGCAGCATTGATAGAATGCCATCCTTCTCTTTTTGAAGCTGTAAAGGAACAACAAGATAGCAGGTCAAAGGTGAAAGTGGAGGAAGAAAAATACAAGAAAGAGAAAAATTGAAATACTTACTCTTTTCTTGTAATATATCCTCCACTTGTGATACTCTTTGATGACCACCTCAATCCGCCGCTTCCAGTAGCTGCCTTCTAGTACAATCGCCTGTATAAATAAAACCGTTGCATTATGGAAAGCATCAAAAGGAATCCACAATAACACCAATCACTTACTTCGGGCTTTCTGTGGGCATCTGCCTCAGATCCCTCCAATGGAGTGATAAAGCCACACACAGGATTTTTCCGCTTCTCCACATCTAAACAGTAGTCAGAAATTGCCACTTTAAAAATTCTGAACAGATAATATTACTTTCGTGTGCAGAAGTTTATAAGTGGAGAGGACTTACACTGGATGAACCATGCTCTCCAAATTGCATTGTTTAGACGGATTTTATCTCGCCACAGTAACCGCAGTCCCTTGAACGACTTCCACTTTGGGGAGACAATCTTGCCACTAGAAAGTAAACAAAAAGACAACAAACTTTGCTGCTTTCCTTTTCAAACCTTAAAAAATTTGAAAAAAAACACCACGCCTGAGGAAAAACATTCAACAAGAGGCAGAAGGTATGACTACCAAGGTGTCAATTATCACGAGTCCTAGGCCCACTTGTAGCCGGCACAGCCCCCACAGCCTCGTGCTGAGCAGCGATCTGTGAGTTTGGGCTTTGGGAGCTTTGCTGAATCTACTGTGGGATATCCACATCCAGAAAATTTAAAAACTCAAACAAAGATGAAAATAGGAGTTGCCTTAAAGAGGTATGGAGGCTTCAAGAAGAATTAGCAACAATCAGCTCTTTTTAAATTTTAATATTGTACAGTATATTTCCCCCCAGAAAATACATTTTAAAAAAATGACCCCATTTAGTGTTGTAGAAACACATCGTTAAGAATAAGTCATGCAACCAACAGAGCAGCTGTGGCTAATTTTATTATTGTCGTGTTAATGCTAGCTAAGCATTTGTTGAATCTGGATATGCGTTGTCTGTAAATTTGAGAATCATGCTTGCACATGTTATTGAAAGGCATGGCTTTGCTCAGACACTCGAAGAAGTTTTAGCACTGCAAATTCCCCCTTCGAGACACTCGAACATTTTTTTTAAAAGTGGTGACATTGATGAATGTCTTTGTTGAAAAGCTGTCCCGATCTTGACTAATGGGACTGCATCTCGCTAATTTGGGTTCGCCAGAGTCTCTCTGCTTTTACAGGATCGAGAGAGAGACACCTAATGGGAGACACTCACAGAGTTGCTAGGAAGCCAAGCCGAAGAGCACATTTCAACATGCTTCTAATGAAGGGGCATCAGGGGTTCTCACACACACAAAACAGCCAAGACGGCAATTTGCTGCGGGAGGAAAAACACTATACTTGAGTCTTGTTCATAAAAAATATTTGTGGCACATAATTTGGAGGGGGCGGCGGGGGGGGGAACAGCAATTTAAGATGGGAACAATTATCCAAATAAAGTTAACTTTGACGTGGGAGCAGGCCTTGTATCACATCATAGATAGCTGAGCAGTATTGGTCATTTACCTTTTCAAATATTGTGGTTTGGATGATTCGTCAACCTAATTTAGTTAAAGCACAAACCTGTAATAAAGCTCAATGAAAAAAGAAAAAAAGCAAGAGAAACAAACTGTGTCAAAATGAGACAGAGGCATCATTGCAACAATTCTGCATTACCTCAGCCCCACTCAAATCTATTCCGTGCGGCCAACTAGAATCAAAGTCCAGTTTGTGGTTAAGTTTCCAAGCGGTTGCACAACAAACAAGAGCAACACACATGCGCATGCACACGAACATGATCACCTTTTGCAAGTCTGAAACAATATCAACAAACCAATTGAATGCTTTTTAACTCATGGAATCCCAGCCATTTTTGACAGTATTTTTTTTCAGTGCAAAGGAAACTCTAGCATGAAAATACCAAGGACAGGACCAAAATGCTGAACAAGAAATGAACATTAAATGCAAGAACTGATTTTGTGAATTTTTCCACAAAACAACTCTCGGAGTTTATTATGATAGTATGTTTGTCCGGCATATCATTCGAAATCCACCAAAAGGGTTTGTTAAATGTTTTTTTTTTTGGTTTAATAAATAAATAATTAAAAACTTTTTGGGTTTGTTTTTGTTTTTTTTAAACCAATTGGGCCACTCACTGTAGTCACAGGCGACAGTTGTCCATCACTAGTACATATTTGCATAATGTTTAAGAACTGCTTTTAAGCTTTTACTTAGGTAAAATTTTCACTTCACTTTTTTGTACAATATATTTAATTTATTTTCCCCATGTTTAAACTGTGGCTTTCAATATTGTAAAATATAGTTTTTTGGTGATTTACAGTTAACACCTACTACAGTGTGCTACACTATTTTCATGTTGGTGATTTTGGTGGTGAGAACTAAGAATTATTTTTATTATTACTACTACTTGAGTGTACATGTAAATGCTTTAACATGCATGTTAAAATTTTTGCTTCTTTTCTCATTAACGTCCTCTAAACAATTTTAAATCACTTTTCTTTTATTTTCGAAATTTTACATCTTTACTTCATTTTAAATTGTTTTTAAAGTTTTCGGTTAATGTGTTTAAATTGTGTCAATTTGCGTTTTGTGTAATATTTGTACCGGTAAGCTATTTCTGTAAGATTCTCTGCTTTGCTGCGGAATGTTGTTAACTTTAGAGTTTGTAAATGCTTGTAAGTCTTGTGTCTTGGCGTGTGTGAGGCACATCGAGTTGCCTTGTTTGTGAAACGTGCTACATAAATAAAACTGGATTGTCTTGCTTTGCGTAAAAACCTTTCGAAACATTGCACTAGTAAATGGATCTTGAAGCCGATATCAAGAAGAGCGACTAAATGCTCAAACGGATTTCCGTAGAAGTAAGTTTTAAAACCAAGTTATAGGCGCCAAAAATGATTAAAACGTGCAGTCGGGGTCTTGGGAGTGGCCCACGTACCTGTAGGCCATGGACATGCACTCAAACAGGCGGGTTAGTGTCGGGTCGATGCTCAGGCTTCCGGAGCTGAACGGCCCGTAGCGGTACGTCTGACACCAGGTCCGATTCACCGTGTCGAAATCGTACCTCGGGCACCGTCCGCCTTTCAAGCCTCCCGGTGACGCGTCGCGGTGGGGTGACGACACCATAAAGTGCCCGCTGTGGATGACCTGCGTGTAGGTGAAAGGCCCGTACGCCGGCCCGCTGGCAGGTGACTGAGCGCGTTCTGCCTCGGGTTCGGAGGTGTCGCGGAGGTCGCTGCCGACTTTACGGACTCTGCAGTTAGCCGCCATTGCCGTGTTTTCAGTCCGTGTTACCATTCACAAAAATGCGACGGTCAGGACGACCCTCCTGCTTTTCTTCTTTCAATGAAGAAATATCGTACAGTGACCTACTTGGGGGTTTCCTCTTGACAGCTGAGCCACTTCACCAGGCGTCACGATTTTTTCCTCCGAGTGGACGATTGTGCAACAGCACTCTGTCCACTTCGATGGTGTTAAAGTCCTTAAGGGAAGCCCGAGGTGGTAATTATTAATAGACTTTTTTTTTTTGGAGGGAACAACCATCATTCAGTATGAGGCCAAGTAGTGTAATATCCCACCATATGGCACCATGGTGTGGGAAAAAAAGCTCCCTAAATTACATACATTTGTGGTTAGGAACGGTCAGCAGCTTTGGAATAATTTTCAGTCATGGATATTTGATGGTCTTATATTTCTGGCCTTAGTAGTGATGAGGAACAGTGAAGCCTCATGAACCAATGAGACATTGTCTCTGATGTGTCAGCCAATGGTTCATTCCATTTCCTTCATTTTAACTCTTTAAGGGCCCCTGCTGCACAATGAGGAGTATCGCAGTTTTTCATTTGATTTGAAAGCTTGTCATGTATCGTCTCCGTGCATATACAGTATTTATGACTAAACTAATCCTAACACTTTGTACACACTGCACTGCAAATACACGGACTGACTGAATCTCAACTATTTATCTATGGACAACTAAACTAACTGTGTGATTGAATCTTTATGAACTTTCTCTGAGTCTATAAATGAATGGATAATTACCTGACTGGCAAACTAACTGACTTTAATAGCTAACTCACGCAAAATAATACAGGTACGTGATCACTCGATGTTGGAAAACTTTTTAATTGCATTTTGACCTACAAAAACAATAGATATAATTAACCTCCGGAACATGTCTGTAGTCTTAACGATACACCTAACTCACATTCCTTTTGATCCTTAAGTACTATTAATATTTGCGTTAGTTGCAAGTGGATGTGGGACCGGACAAAATGGACACCACGACTCTATAAATAAGATTAGTTACATTTCACAAAGGTTTTGAGTTCTTCCAGAAACTTGATGTACTGTTGATGCTCGATGGCAGTGCTCAGCTCCATAAGTTCATCAGCAAAGGTGTTGTCAACACCCCGGTCGGCCAGAAAGTCCATCATGTGATCATAGAGGGACTGAAAAAACAAAAATGGGGTTATTGTTTGTGTTAAAATGAAATAGTTTTATGCCTTGGACCAGGAGGAAAATGTGGGGCTTTAACAAGAAACTGTGAAATACATCAGGTCAAGCCATTGTGCAGAAACTCACGTCATTCAAAGAGTCTTTTGTGAGTGTGTAGCTGGTTTCTTTCCACTCTGTATCCCCTTCTGGCTGGAAGCTAACCTCAAAGATGCCGAAAATGTCGCTCTCCTCCTCTTCGCCATGTGCCAGCTAGCCCAAACAGATCAAGAATAAGATCACTGACAATTGGAGTTGTGCTGATAGTTTTCTTTTGTTCAAAATGGTGTTGGCTGAGTGTACCTCATCTTGAAGGAATTGGCAGTCAATCACCAGTGTTTCCTTTACAGCCTCTTTCGTAACTTCAACAACAAAGTTAGGCGTGGACAAAATTTCAGGCTGCAAGGACAAGCGGGATGCTTATTTAAAAACTGGACATTAAAGTACCACTACGAAGTACATTTTTTTCACAAAGCTCCGTTTATTTCCGTCCCTGAAAATCATGACTTTTGTTACCTCTTCCCCTGATTTTTGCTCTCCTTGATCTGCCTCCTCCGCAAAATTTGGAAGAATGCTGTTATTGACATTGAACGTGACAGTGATTCTGCAAGTGGATGATGAAAAAAAAATAGGTGAATATAATTACAAATCTGTGACAGCAGAAAGCACAGAGAACAGGTGGCCTACTTTTCTCCAGCAACGCGTTTTGTAAGTAGAGCCTCGGTACCGTCCATCGACAGTTCCCAACCTCCGGATATCTTGGGTAGAGTTCCGCTTTTCTGAATCTTTTTCTCCTCTTTAATTTCATCAAATAGGAATTCCCCAAATGCCTTGTCACCTGCAATAGGAAAGAATACATGGGACAAATTGGTGATATTTTATATCAGATTTTTCTGATTTGTAACAATTTACGGTGACTGACGTGACTAGATCGCAATGCATAACCGCATCATTGACAACCACAGCTGTGCATTCAAAGTGAGTATGAGTGGTGTTTTTTTTTCTGTTTCTGACAAATTTGATGCCAAATGTGTTGATCCACATTTTAGGGGGGTGGGCTGGGTACCTTGATATTACTCTGGCCCGCAATGACAAGGCATTTTCTTGTAACTACATGAACTTTATTCATGACCAATCCTTCTCAACTGGGCTATATTTATTCCTTGCGATGTTTTATAAGAACTTGTCTTTGGTCATTCCAGTCTTTTAATCTATGCATATTTGAGTGCCAAATTAAACCACGTTATATCCTCTTGACCACTATTGTGTAAGACTTGGATTTCTATAATGATACAAAGTTCATCATATTGTCACTTCTGTGTTTAGCAAAACTTTCAAATGATAGAAACCTTTTGAAGGTATAATCAAGGCTCAGAAATTTAGGAACGTTTGAAAGTCAGATTAAACGAAAAGGTCACACTCAAAATCTCAAACCCTATTCAGACGTTGGCCAGAAATTGGCCCATTTTCACCAGTTTCAAAGAGTCATCTTTCTTGACATGCGTCTCAGGAAAATGACACTTATATCACTGGAATCATTCTTCTGTGTGACAATTTTAGTCTTATGTAAATTAATTGATCTTTGAGATTGCACACATACCGATGTAGTAACATTTCTTTGGTGGTGTGCCATTAATTTTTTTTGAATGAAACATAATTTGGAATGAAGGTTGGGAAATGATTCACTCCCATGAACCACTCACATTATTGTACAAAGACATCAGGAAGTGGTCGTAAACGCATTAATTCAAGGTTGAGTGCTGACCAGCTAGTTATACTATGGTTAGCATATCATCACGAACTGTAAAGGTTCACCACGACCAAATGTTTTTTTTTCACCCACCAAAGAAGTATATTGTGGATGTTTTACCAATAAGCATGTTGTAAAATAAGCCATTATCCAATTAATGCTTTCTTTACACGCTGTTACGCCGGTTGGCACACGCTTAACTTTGCATCAACTGTTAAAACATGCTATTTACCCTCTGTGTGCATTGCACCGCATCCACACGACGCCGAAGGATTCAACACTTTTGTAGTAAACAGTTTGGGCCTGTATCCAGACGCTCCGTTGCCGTTCATCATCCAGAGGGAACGGGTGAAGGTTCTGGCCGTAGCCGCGTTCGCCGAGCACAATGTCGGGCAATTGAGCGGCAAAGCCCGTGTCGTGGATGTGGAAGCCGTCGGAAGGCGGAGAGCGGCTCCCACCGTGCGGACAACAGACTTGAGCATGTTGGAAAATTGGGACACGACGAACCCTTCCGACTCGGCAAATTTTGTTGCTACTGCACACGGACGCCGCAACACACGTGTACGGAAGGACACATTGACCTGTCGTAACGGATGCCCTATGCGCCGGAAGTAATGACTGACGTAAAGGAAGCAGAAAACTCAAAGGCTCTCTTTAGCACAAAATTGTACGTCAACGTTGTTGCCATATTTGCTGTGGCATTTATGTACCGTTAGTAACTTTGAAAATTGTTATCCCAAGAGCACATAGGTTTAAGACTAAATGGCGTTTGATGACACTAGGCTATTTCACATCATCACCTTTGTGAGTAGGTTTTTCTTACATGACAAACAGTTATTAAGGAACTTTGACTTCCATTATTAGTGTAAATAATCATACGGTATTTATCTCACCCGTCAGAATCTTATGATGTTTGGCAGTAACATCCAGACAAGTCGAGCGATGGTTTCCATCCTGTTAAAATATACTACCTCCCCCCAGCTGTAACCTGTGTGCATGTGCGCATCAGTGTCCGCTTTCTTCACACGCACACACACACACACACACACACACACACACACACACACACACACACACACACACACACACACACACACACACGCACACACACACACGCACACACACACACGCGCGCGCGCCGAGGTAATCAAATTAACAAGACATTTGTTTTACCTCAGATTATGTGACTTGTTCCACTGTTATGTATGTGGTGAGAGACTAGATATATTATGCGCCATCCCAATAGATATGCCTGAAGCTCAACCACCACAAGAGTCCCACTCCAATTTAAGAAGAGCCTGTCAACCGGGCCGCTTAGTGGCAATCACCTCTGACAAACTGTATTTGCACAGAGATTTGAAGAAGACCGAGTAAGGTACCAGCAAATTTCGTTTTCTTGAGGAATTAAAGTGATGGGAGTAGTGACATCACTATTTCAATATGACACTATGTATATAGGCACCAAACCAACGTCTGCAACTGACGTCAGTGTGGTCTTTGGGGAGGAGTTTCTGACTGTCAATTCTGACAAGGATTTTTTTCCGTATAAAATAATGATCCCCAGACGGGAAATTTAGGTTCTTACAAAAGTTCACAGCAGATTGCGAAAAAAATAAAAACAACAAATAGAATACAACTATCCATTTTCTGAAGGAGTAGCTTTGTTTCGATATGGTGACACCGTCACACGTCTGTGCAATCCCCAGTGCTGCTTGCAACCCGTCGCGTTGTTAATACGAGCCCCCATATCACCATCATAATCTGTCGATATCTGTTGTTGGCACAAACAGAATCTCAGAGGCAATGTTCATAAAGTAACAATTACATACCTCGTTTTGGTCAGCTCAGCTCACTCCTCTTGCAGCTCTCCTGCTTCTTTACTTCATCAATATCTTAGTCCCAACTCACGCAACCCCCCCTTTCTCACAAAACATTACTATGACATCACCTTTGAAGTCTAAAGTGTTCAACCCTCACATTAGATAAGTTTCGCATCAAAGCAAGTTTCGTTTCAACCGTCCATTTTGAATTGCACGACTTCATTCGAGTCACACCATTTGAATTAGGGCAAGAGACGGGGTACACCCCAGTCTAGTCGACAGCAAATCACGGTGGCTTATTTTTCATAGAAAATGTTGGTAAATTAAATTAGTCCTACTTTCAACCACCACTAAACTGATAAACTCGTAACACAGTAATAGTAGCTTTAACTCATCAGTGTGGGTAGTTTTTACCCCTTGTTGGTTCAAACTCTTGACGCGATGTGAGATGAGCTCAGAATAAATAACACAGCATTAGCTCGGACTGAGTGCTGGGTTACAAACTCAAAAGGCAAATAACCTTGTCAAATGCAGTCATTTTATTAGAACAGTACACGCGGGTGTTCTTACATGGTTTCCATAGTGTAAAAATATTTGAAGGTATTTATTGTACAATCCTGAGTCCCAAGTGTACAAAATCACAAAAGAAACGTTCACAAGCTGTGATTTACTTTCTACAAAGTGCAAAAGAAATCAGTCATCAGATATTTTCTTGTAATTTTCTTCTCCATGCATAGCATACATTTTCTGAGCTACCTACAGAGAATATCAAAAGGTAGAATCAACAGATGCTGTCATGCATCTTCCCCTGACGGGTCAGTACAGTATTTGGAAAATATGTCAAAAAGCATGCACCAAGTGGGTGCAGATATTACAAAAGCGAGCTCATATTACATGCCGCAACAAATTGTCAAAACGTTAACATTTTTAAATACTTTGTTGACTGAATCAACTACAGCCAATGCATATGTAAAACCTCCTAAAGAGCACTTTGTATCAAATCAATACATACAAGGTCTGGTTTAATCAAACATGAACTTTCTTTGGAAGCTTGTCAACATTTGGTTTGCAAATATTTCTATTCTACATAGGCTGACATTCACAGCAAAGAATACATGAACTGACGGTAAACTGCGATTCATATTCTTTTAAAATACAAGCGAATGAGAAGAAATTCTAACATCCCAGAACAAATCCCTGTTAAGCAGCCGAACATTTTGCAAAATGGGATTACTAAAACTGGCAAATCGGAGTTGTGAGACATCAATGTGCAGATTCATGCTGCAGTGATACCTTAAGACTCAAGTGGGAGGTAGTATAATCCATCACTATATACAGTATTACAATATAATTTATTGAGCACTCTTATGACCTAAGGAGGTGTCCAAAGGATGTTATGATAGTCCCACGTAGAGGCGGTCCTTAGTTTACGACAGAGTTCCTTTGCTTCGGTGCCAGTGTAACCTGATTTTTGGACTTTGACCGGAACATATATATAAAAACATAACTCTGGGTTAGTGAGGTGCACTAAACACAAACGGTTAACTCTTGGTCGGGCGGAGTTTGCGGCCAAAGTACTCCGGTGCTGCATCAAGCAACCAATCAGCATCTACCAGACACAAGTCCCTCATGTAGCAACGTGAGGTGTGCAGCAGCTCATTGAACACCACGTACGCTGGCTTCGCCTGGAAAAGAACAGACGAAGGGTGGATGGCCACCGACTGGTGGGTGTCCAGGGCTAAGTAGCTGCCGTCGGGTTGAAGCTCCGCAGCGTTGATAAACATCCCGTGGGCGAGGCATTGGCGAACCTTCCCTGTGTCCGCTCCACATGACTCCAGCTTTAAGTTCAGCTGTAGTAAGCCAAACAGAACAGTCATATTTACAGTCGTTATGATACATACATTTTTTCAGATCAACTCCAAAAAATGGCTTCGCCTGACTAGCATTTACACCGCTCACTCTAAAATGATGTTTTTATGTGTTGCTGCTCCATGTGTATTAAAGCAGCAGTTGTTTGAAGGTTTATAATTACCCTGACAAGCATGCTAAAACATGTTAAATTGTTTTTCAAATGGTTTCAGGAAAGTATTATTTGCGATGAAGTTGGTTTGCAATAATAGTTTGTTCATAACAACAACAAAAAATGGCTTATGCGGTACTTGAAGCCATTTACACTGTTCACTCACATAAAATAACACTGACAGAGCCTCCATTATCGTCAATCCAGCCATTAAAATGGACCCATTATTCCTGTTCTCGGCTGCTGTCATCTAAGTAATGGAAACATTTCAGATAGGATCTTCGTTTTGTCTTCTTTGACTCTTTGGACAGACTGGCAATTGTCAACGGCCTCAAAGTTTTGTCCAGCAGATGTAATTCATTCTGGCAGGATGCCTAGTCCATCGCGACTTCTTCTTTGACATCCTGAACTGTGGCTTGTTTTCTTATTCAAGTGTAAATTCTCCTGTCGCAATTTATTATTTCCATTCCATATTTCTCCCTACAATTTATCAATTTACTTTTCATGATTTCATTTCAGCAATCAACTCCTCTCAGATGCTATCTTCCTACTTCACCACTTGGCTGAAACGTTTGCATGTTTGTTGGAGGAATTTTGAGATGGTAATTGTGCTCTAGAGCCATAAATTGCATGAATATTTATCCATCCATTTTCTGATCTACTTATCCTCACAATGCTTGGGAGACATTTTGTGGCATCAAAGCATGACAGAAAAAGCCCAGAAACGCTAATCGAAAAGAAAATTAGTTTTTCCCATCTAATTAACAGAACATAGGTAGCAAAATCAACAAATAGCAAACTAGAAATATTGTAGACGGGGAATTTCTGCATCAGGATTTGTGGAGATGTACCTTAAAGCATATTTCTCTGAGTTGACTTTGGACGTCTTTCACTAGGCCCATGTTCCTGCTGTTGACAAAGTTCTCGCGACACCATTCCTTTACAGAAAAAAAACCCCAAAACATTCATACATCAAGTATCTTGGTGAAATCTGATTAACTGTCAAGCAGTCCTAACGTACAATACTTGCCTTATTCCCACTGACTTTCTTGAATGCTCTGTAAATGCCGAGGAGCGTCATGTGATCTCCTTCACTGGACATGAACTTCTTGCGCACAGCAAGAACCTCTTCACGTCTTGCCGGGGGGTTGTACAGCACGCTGTCCACTGACAGCAGAGACACGATGCTTAAAATCTCCTCAGAGCAGGCATAGTTGGGGGATAGCAGGATGGTCTGCAAAACATTAAAGTGTCAAAAACTGGTAGCATACATGCAATATCATCTGTGGGCAATTTGTCAAATCAACAAGGCTCCAAAAAGTACATAGTTGTATTACCCCACTGATCATGGAGGGATGGGGGTGGGCCATGCCGCAAATAGTACAAATCCACAAGTAATTGACACCCCGCCCTCCCAAAAGGTTTCTGTTTACCTATAAATTGCCACAAGATGGTTGCAATTCACCACTTTATGCCACAAGATGATTGTAAAACACTACTTTTGTCTAAATGAAGCTCCTAAATTGACGTCAACACAGTTCCTCGTCCCCAAGATGCCACAACATTACATCAAAGTCGTACTTTTAGTGCTTTGGCCCAAACACACACACAAAACAATATATGCATTGTTGCCTTCCTCAAAAGCAACACAAAGAGCAACCCAGAAGCACATCGTATCTCTCAAACAACGAGTTGCCATTTTTTCAAATATTTTTGCTCACAGTCGAATTCGAACCGTGATTCATTCTCTTGCCCAAGTTTTTGGAATGTCTGATTTTTTTTTCTCAATTTCAGAAATTCCACAACAATCTTTAAATATGCAACTTTTGATCTTAAGAGCTAATGACTTACAGCGGCTACAAGATTATCGGGGATGTTCCTGTATCTTGAAATGATACTTAAAAGGGCATTTCAAACAGTACTACCTTGGCATATCTTGGCTCCAGGGGAAAGCTGGACATCTTTTTTCCCAATGCAGTGAGGAGAACCTGCCCATTGTTCCTTTCCACAGCCCCCAGCAGCTCCAAATGCTCCACAGCTGAGCGAATGGCATCTGCAAAAGTGTGGTGAAATTGAAGCTTACCGGCCGGTCCGGAAATGCTTTCCAGCTCATGACCTGTTGCATCTTACCTGGGGAGGGCTTGGACATGAAATCAAAATTCATAACATCTTGAATCCCTAGAGCCATGAGCTGTAGCATCACACTGGCGAGGTTACACCTTTGAAACAACAGGTCACTCGGGTCAGTTTAACCTGAATGGAAATGTTCAGCTTCCAGTGTGTACTGGCCCTAAATTAACTGTGTAAAAAAAAAAAAAAAAAAAAAAAAAAAATGGAACAAACAAAGGTTACCTCTGAATCTCGGGCACAGTCATAGGAATGAGATGATCAAATTCTTGCTCCGTGTAGAGACGGTAGCAAATTCCTGAGTCTTCCCTGCCGGCCCGGCCCGCTCGTTGCCACGCCTGCGCTTTGGAAACGCGCTGCACTGCCAGCACCTCCAACCCACTGTCTGAGAACCAATCGACAACCAACATACACCGAATAGAGCATAGAAAAGCATGTTGCATTTGGTGGGTCATAGTCAGTGAATGACCTCACAAGACTATCGACAGTGTTATCTCACCAGGATTGAAACGTTTGGCTTTCACCATCCCTGTGTCAATGACATATTTGATCCCAGATATTGTCACTGACGTCTCTGCTATGTTGGTTGCCAAGATAACCTTCCTGCAACCCTGGAACAAGGAAAGAGAATCAAATGGCATGAATTAAATTAACATCCATTTTGCAACTAACAGCTACATTTCAAAAAAACATCGTCACTTTCTCGATTTTGCACTCTTCTGCCAGTGACTTTACCTTTGGAGCTGCCTGAAAGACCCTGAGCTGTTGCATCGGAGGCAGTGACGCATACAGAGGGACGACTACCATAGGTCCACAATTGTCAGGCAAATGTTTGGCAATGTCCCGACATGTCCTTGCTAGAGCCTCGATCTCTTCCTGGCCCGTCATGAAGACCAATATATCGTGTGATGGAGGTGCTTCCTGTGCAAAGACAAGACTGTTGCAGCGAACGGTGACACACATATACATATACGCAGGCTTTACTGATACTTATTTTAATGTTTACCGGTGTGTAGGGTTGGAATTAATGATCATTTTAATAATAAATAAATAAAAACATGTTTTAACTTCTATTCCTTGGGTCAAAAACAAGAGATTTCAAATTGACAGTTCAGAAAATGCAGACGCACGTGTTAAAATAACGTGAAAATGTTTTGATTAAATAAAGATTTCCAGTAAGACTTGCCATTTCCATCAGAAACCCATTTTCTATGTTGCTTGAATTAGAATTCATTATATAGTTTTTTTTCCCATTGCGTGTGATAATGTGATTTATATTAATTTTGATGGACTAGGCATGATCAAATGTAGTCTCATGGGACACAAACAATGATAGATCATCGTTTCGATATCTGTTGTATCATGCAAGGTCCCCTTTTTATTTTAGGCATTCATATTTCATGGATATTTCACACGTTTCTGGGTTTTTTTCCACCCTTGTTGAAATATTTTAAATAACAATTGAGAATATAATGCATATTTTAAAAAAAAGGATGCTTCCTCATTTATTTACCTATTTATTCGTTTGTTTATTTTATCGTGTCCTCAGTGGTGACTACCTGATGTATCTGGAACACAGTGACGAGAGCAGCTTGCAGGTAGTCGGACTGAGCCTGTTTGGTGTAGTAGATCTGAATGGGATGCTGCCTGCCCTCCAGGTAAAGTACAGGTGACTTGTTGAAGTATTCCGAGAACAGGTCGACATCCATTGTAGCTGACATCACGATGACCTGGGCAGGAAAAACAATGAGACAAAAGGGTCATGTTTCACAGGAAATTAACTTAAATAGCACGTATTGTGGAGAAAAAAAATGTAATTGCTTGTATATCAATAGTTGGGTCCCTGGAGTGACCATCCAAGTGTGAAGAAATCAAACATCCAAGTAAACCTTTTGTCATTTGAGTACAGTGAAACTCCTCTAGAACGAAACCTGCATGGGCGAAAATACCCCCTTATGTGAAAAAATCTTCATGCATTAACACAATTCCCATTCTCCTGCCCCCCATACGACGAAAAACCCCCTGTTGCGTTATACAAAATCATTTTGTCTGCTCCAGCCTCGCGAAGACGTTCACTACAACGAAGTCTTATCCAACAGCGACCTCTACTGCTTCGTTCGAAAAAAGGCAACAGCAACCACCACACTGGTTTACATAGTGAACGATGTTTATTTCGGTCACAGCTGCGAGTTTCCTGGGCTCAACATACTCATAGCTGCTCTGCTATTGGCTTACCGAGCATCATCCTGGCCTCCGATTGGCCAAGAGGCCACATAGACCTCACTGTCTATGTGTGTAGATACTGAAGCTAGATCCGTAGCATCCGATTAGCTGCTCAGAGTAAATTGCTTATGGCTCGAAGCTAACTATGGCCATCGAGGACTACGAAGCGTCCCGTGGGTGTTTTTAGCATGATAACAAGTAAAGCATTCGAGGAAACGTTCGTTTATTTGAAAAACCTTACGCTAACTGGAGCGCTAATGAGAGAGAAGCGCTCCAGTTAGCGTAAGGTTTTTAGTCTTCGAGAGCTAACTATGGCCATCGAGGACTACGAAGCGCCCCGTGGCTGGCTTAAAAGTTCATTGCATGCCAGGAAGTATTTGTTATTGTTAGATTCAGACGAGGATGGACGTTGCATTGCTAAAATGGCTACAAAACGGACCTTTTGATGTCAAGCAGCTAAGACAAGAAGAGCTCTGATGCTGGAAGAGAGGGTAAAAGTGATCAAAATGAAAGACGGAGCAAGCAAAATAAAATACATTTTCCAAGAAATTTATGTAAGTGAAAGTGAATGCTGATCGTAAATTTCGCAATTTCTTTCCCTTTTTTTCTTTCTACACTGACAATATGAAGTGTCAAATAAGTGTGTGCTCATACTTATGTACTATTGGAATAAAAATAGAGTACACAAACGTTTGTGTGTGCGTGTACACATACGTTTGTGTGTGTGGGTGTGTGTGTGCTTACATCTGAGATCAAATTTGCTACAGTGAAAAACCCCCTGTTGTGAAAAATTTCTTGCTGCAAACATGATTTCGTTGTAGAGGAGTTTCACTGTATTTCTAAAAATGTGTCTGGGAATGAGACATTCTGCACTTACTCACAATTAAATAAACCTTGCCTTCACAAAGAGTGCCTCTGGCTGTGACAGGACGAGCTAGGCCGGGCGAAGAGCCAAAGCCACTTTTAAGTAATGGCCAATAACCATGTCCCAAAAAGGTGGAACTCCCATGCTATCATGTAAAAGCCACAACGTTAGCAGAGTGGAATTAAGTTTTGCTGCATAAATGCACAGATTAGTGTTCGCTTCTGATAAGTAGCACATACTTGATTGCTTGGTGGAGTTTTAAATGCGGCCGAGGCATTTTGTTTTTGGTAATGGTGTCCATGCGCCACATCTCGCTCACCATGATAACAAAAGCGGCTCACCGCTGGCCCAGCAGCAGTATTTCACTTGCATGGAATGCTTAAAATGAGAAGATTTCCGCAAGATATGAAATAAGATAGCTAAGCTATACTATTGTCCTTGATCCTGAATTTTGACAGAAGCAAGTCACAGAGATGTTATTAAGACACATGCTAACTGTTTTATATTATGAAAAAAAGTCCACAAAAAAGTCAAACATGTCTCCAATAAAAATACATAGGGCACTACATAAAGACACAATTTCATCCATTTAAAAACATACTTTCAGAGGAATCTTGCCAAGTTCTTTGCGCCGGCGCTGAGCTGTCTTGACAACTCCAAACAGGACATCTGTGTGCACGGTGCGCTCATGAGCTTCATCCAGGACCACAACGGTGTAGCGCAGCAGTAAGGGGTCACCAATGGCTTCGCGTAAGAGCATGCCATCAGTCATAAACTTCAGTTTTGTCTCGGGGGATGTGACGTCCTCAAAACGCACAGTGTAGCCCACCTGGAGATGGTTGTAGATGTAAATAGAAGAAGTAATGATTCAAAATAAAATGAAAAACTTGTGCTATCTTGGTTGTTACCATTTGTTCTCTCACCCTTTACCTCAAAGACTACATAGGGTGGCTTTTTATATTTAGAAAATATGCTCCAATGATTTTGCTGCATAGGTCTGTGTTTCAGTTTTTTACATTACCAGTACGTAATATGCTAAGATCGTGATCAACTTGGTCATGCTTGCATGGATGAAGGGGACATACCAGCTTGCCAAGTTGCGTCCCCTTCTCTTCAGCCACCCTGCCTGCCAGTGAGATCGCAGCCACTCGACGGGGCTGAGTGATAGCAACGAGGCCCTGCCGTCCGATCCCAGCCTCATACAGATACTGGGGGATCTGGGTCGTCTTCCCTGAGCCGGTCTCGCCTGATAACACAGAGTGGGTCTTGTAAAATGAAAAAGTCAGTACATGTCCCGTGACATCACACACAGACAGGATCCTTGCAGCCAGGTACAACTCTTGTACTTGAACAAAAGAAAACAAAAGGTGCACTCTAAAATGTACTTCAGTACAAAGGTAAAGATCTTTCTTGATTTTTTACACACATTGCAATGTTGTGAATTAAGCAACAAAAATGCTCGATTAGCTATCGATAAGTTAACTGAAAAAATTATAATGGCTGGCACAAGACATAGACATGACAAGCACAGTAACGAAGGACTGCTACTTCGTTACTGTCGAACAGCAATATGCAACAGCGTGTGCTAGGTGACACGTTACCTATCAGAATAGCATTGTGGAGCTGTCTTAGTTGGCTCAAAAGCTGAGCCCTCGCTTGGTAAATGGGAAGCTGTTTCCTCTGGACATCAATCGGGGTGGTCGCTTTTGCCTTCCCAGGCAGCAGCATACCAGGTTTCTGCTTGTCGAGGCGAAAGAAAACGGACCCCGGCTTGAATTTTTTAGCCGGAGGATGGTCGGGATCGTAGGGCATGATCTAGAAAACAAGATTTCCTAAGAGCACTCGCTGTCGCGTCTTTAAGGCTGGAGAGTGTCAACACACGAGAGCGAAAATGGTTCTCATGCTCACGACAAGGTACTTCCAGGCGTTACTGCGGTTGTTTGGCTCATATTGAAAAAAAAAATGGTCCACGAGGTAAACGTCGTCGCATGAGTTTGACGTCATATAATAGCGTACTATATTTTCTTTGGCTTGTTCGCGATTTAAATGCTGTTCCTCAGAGTTTTCTTGAGCTAATATAATCTGACACATCAATATATATATAGACTCAAACATTTTCTTTTACAATTAGAAGAGTCGCACAAATAAAGATGCATGTACTGTACTCAGGTCGCTATAATAATATTTCTCCTCGGAGTAAATTCTACTGGAACGAACAGTTACACAACAAATTGACGTAGAACATGGTTATGTCGCTTTCAATTCTGCATTTCAAATAAAATTAGGGCTTTAATCTAAAATACGACGCAACAGTTATCCTTGCATATTCACTTTCCAAGTTCATTGACATTTCACAGATGACAAATGCACCTTCTATGGGAGTGAGTTCAGGACAATTCTTACATTTATTTTGTAATTGCCCTTTGTCTTCAAAATTTCGAAGATATTTGGAAAGATATATGCGTGAAAACACTGGCCATACCGTTCAATAAGTCTATCGTTTTGAACATGGGGTAAAGTATTTACTGTACCTTTGTGATCAATCTTATGCTGTTATTTGGCAAATTTTACTTAAAAGACAAAATATTCATAGGATTGTCCAAATCCCTTACAAATTCTCCACTATTTCTTGGAGAGTGCATGTAAATACTTTGAAATAAACAAAGAATGAGAAAACTGTTTCTATATTATGGCTCCTTGGTGAGTTATCGCTTGTTTACCTCGAATGGAAGTTTACTGTGCCTTGTTAGTGTGATTGTAAATGTTTGAATCAAAGTCTCAGTAATAGCTGTATGAGTGTATTTTTGCATTCATGCTTCTAACATCTAGATCTGATCATGTTGCTAAAGTACAAGTTTAATAAATTCCTGAATAAATAAACCATTCACAATCCATACAAGATCAGTTGTGTCCAACTGTATAAATGGTTCATTTGCTATGGTTTCTCGCTTATCGTAATCAAATCAACAGCAAAGTTAGCATACCAAAGGCGTTCGAGCTGAGTGGATGTCTCGATGCTTTGGTTTAGTCTTCTTAACTGTATGAACCTGGAAGAAGAACCTTTCAGACATTTTAGGTATTGAAAATATGTTATGTGGGTTATGCTTGGAAACAAGTTATTTATTGGAAAAATACATCATCTGACATTAAGTTCATTTTTCATCATAATTCACAGCATCAGGAGTTATTATTGCGACCTTCTCGTGCTTAGGTTAATGTTGGGGATTAAAGTAGGATTTGTACCGAAGCCAAGCTTCTCTGGAATCACTCAGTAAATAACCTTCTCTTGTTTTTAGTGGAAATACTTTCCTGTCGTGCTGTGACTCAGTTGCATTTGTCTTTCCCTGACTGCAATGATTCTGTAGTCTTTCTATAATCAGTTGATATTCAAACCATTAATTTGAGTAACAGTTACACTTTACTTGGTATGGCCTCAGTGTCATTCTATCCTTTTTTTTTTTTTTTAATCGTAGGAATGGTAGCCTGGGTCTGTCTCATGCTCGACCACACAAAACTAAACTAAACAACTACGGGGGCAAATTTCCAGTAAAAGTAAGCAAACGTGCATTGTTCTTGAATAGATAGATTAGTTAAACAAATTTTTGGTGATCAAACCTCACTGCCTGCCTGATAAATGTTGGAGGTTTTTATTTGTTGTAGTTATTCTTCTTAATTTGACTGCATTTACCTGTAACAATGTTAACACTGGAAAAACTCAGGACTCCATGAAGATTTTGTGCTAAATGAGAGTGAATCGAAAGAATGAAAAACACATTTTGAGTCAAGTAAATTCTTGATCCAGGTGCTCGATCATTCTTTCATTTCAGTGTTTCGGTGCAAATAACAGTGACCCATCAAGCCATATTTTGGTGGCAACAACAATAATAATAATACTGTACATTAAATTAGGCTATTTCAAAAATACACTGAACACATAGTATTTGCTGTTTGTTAATCGCAAATTCGCCTATTCGCTGCTATTTTACAGTACCTAGCCTCCTGTTCTTTGCTGACCTATTGTTTTGTTTTGGTTTTTTTTATTGCCAGCTCAGTTTGGTTCTCAGGCCAAAGCGCCTCCTGGTGGGATTTTACTGCCAATCAACTGTTGAAATGAGTTGAGGAGATTAATTTTGGAAAACTATTGTTCTTTGCTGCCATCTTATGGCATCTACAGTCCGGTATCCCTTTCTCGGTGGCGTCAATTACTTGCTGATTTTCGCCATTTACAGCTGGACTATGTCCCTATACAGAATGTAATTCGTACGTCAGTCATACATGTACCCAGAGACCCTCTCATGACCGCAACAGGTGGATTCAATAACATAACTCAAACAACAGCGGTCACAGTTCAACAACTTTTACTGACTAAGGTGAGCTATGAGGCAGCCAGGGGTGAGTTACTCATCAAGCTGTTTTAGCTGATGGTCTTGGGATAGGATCAGAACCTCAAACCACTCAACTCATCCAAACCACAGCCAGTAGACTCAATAGCACGACTCGGACGACAGGAAATGGTTCAATAACGTTTACAAGGTCAATACACGAGGGTTAATGTCTTTTTATTGGCTTTGCAAGATAATCCGGTTGGAAATGCTGAAGGATGGCCTTTTTCAAGGTCCTCAATTTGGTCAAATACGACTGTAATTGTTGAACGGGTGAATTTTTCATTAATGCTCGACAGATAAATGATTGCTGTTTTGCTGAATCGGAATGTGGAAAACAGCTCTCCTCTGTTTGGCCGCCTTAGGATTCCCGGGAGGAGCTGCAAGAAGTGGCTGGGGTGAGGGAAGTCTGGCCTTCCCTGCTTAAGCTGCTGCCCCCGCGACATGACCCCATATAAATGGTAAAGAATGGATGGATGGATGGTCGTTGTCAATATCTCAGCCATTATTACAAAATGGGATGCCTTGGGCGGCAAGCCTGTAAAAGCTTTTCTATTTTGCTTCCCATTAAATGTCTCAGTCATGTGAACACATACCGACACAACACGACGTAAATGGAATATTTATTTTTTTCCTGATTATTATTAGTCTCCATTTACCTTGGTGTCCCGGTAGATGTAGCATTTTCTACACTGTTGGTATTCCCATCACTCGTGCCCACACAACATTGATGTCTCCAAGGGCCGACTGTTCCTTCCTCAAACACCCTCATCCATTAGGTGGCCCCCTCATGGACATCAAACAGTTTGGAGATCAACCCTTCCAGCTCAAATGTTGCATGTATGTATTGTCGCGGTGTCCATTTTATTAATATCGGTAATAAATTAGCTCGTTCAGTATATCTCGCTAGCGGGTGTCTGTATCTGAGGTCATAGTGTTTGTTTTCCTTCCCGGTTGCTGCAAAATTAACACTTTCTCTTTTTACCTATTGTTGTTTGACCTCTTGCATTATCCGGAGAAGCTTATCCTTATTTTTCCTCCTTGAACTTTGCCCAACTCTCCTATTACTCCTCCTTCCTTTTCCTCTTCCTGTCTTCCAACTGCGGCCCGGACTGCCTCATTTATCTCATCCTTAACTTCTTGGATCTTAACTCTTTCACATTCTCTGTCCTGATCCGAGTACTCCTGCTTTAGCCAACATAAGTGGTTGTCTTTTCTGGTTATTTGTTCGCATGTTTAAGAGCTTATCTCTTTTTCCTATAACAATTCAAAACCTCTTATTTCTTGGGCTTGGTGCCCTTTTTCGCCATGCTGCTGTACTGTGGTGGATTTGGCAATAAACGTGTCGAGACTGGTGATTTCATCTTTATAAAGTTACATCTACTGTGATTTGACGGTTCCGCTGAGGATTGGATCGAGGCCAGGTTGAGTCATCATCATGCACTGACTAGTTTGGACATTATTTGGATTGTTTTTGTTTTTAAATCTGCCTTCCTCTAGCTGACTTTCCTCTTCGTTGTTTTCTTGAACATTTCACCGTCACATGAAACAATTTGAGGATTTGTAATTCCTCATCTCTTTTCTCTTCACTTTTGCTGCCTTTTGTCTTTGAGGCTTTCGTCCTTAACTTGGAGTCCCATCTCCTTGCATAAACTGACACCACATGTGCTACCGTCAGGTCAGCTTTGATTTAAATTCTTTGTGCCTACATCCACTTTGTGTGTGTTTTTTTTTCTTTTCTTTTCATCTGTGAAAACGGGTCGCTGTAAAAGGCGACTCGGCGGACATTCATTCTGTCTGCGCCTGTTGGTCATTGTTTTTCTATTTCTCTTGGACGAGTTGTATCTGTTCCATTTTGTTGCACCTTGTGGCACAATGACAATAAAACTATTCTGATTCACTGTGGCAGGATTTATTCCCATTCAAAATGCCTGCAGCACATTGTTCCACTTAAACCCCAACACTTCACACTATCTTCATTAATATGCTTTCCTCCTGGGAAGTACAATACACTTTGACACCACCCTTTTTCCCGCAACACAACAGAAAACAGCAAAGTTAATCACACTAAAGCAGGGATGTCAAACTCATTTTTTTGTCGCGGGCCATTTCGGAGTTACAGCTTCCCTCGGAGGGCCGGTGCAAAATCTCAACGTTATTTATTACTCATGACGATTTGACATTTTGGTACAGATTTCAGCAAGAATCATGAAAGTGGACACGCATGATTTGCTCCCGCGGGCCACATAAAATGATGTGGGGGGGCTGAATCTGGCCCCCGGGCCTTGACTTTGACACCTGTGCACTAAAGTGTTTTTTTTTTTTCAGCCACAGTCTGAGTAAATGATCTAGAACCTTTAGAAAGTCATATTCGGCGCTGATTTTCAAGTATTCTTAATGTTTCTGTCATTCAAGAGCCGTTTCATCTGTACAAGGTCACACTGAGTCACTCGTTTCTTCGTGTTTTATTCTTTCTCACCCTTCAATACTGTGTGTCGATGTTCAATGTACATTATATCTGTATAGGCCTGATGAATACTTATAAATCATCAGGTCTGATCGGGGAAATATTCTCATGAGGACAGTATGCACTGTTCTTATGAAACAAAAAGCTCATTCCAGGTCACACCTCAGTCCTGCAAAGGATTTGGAGACCGATGTCAGTCTGACCCATCGTTTTCACCCTTATATATATGCCAACGGAGCTATAAAAATTGAGTTTCATGCAACATAATATGAAAACCATT